AAAAAAAAAAAAAAAAAAAAAGAAGGATAAAGGAGACATTTCTAGCTAAATGGGTACATATTGAGATCATACTCTTAAATGAAATAAATGGAACACACATATTTAAATGTGGCATTGTTTCTCTGGTATGAAAGAACAAAAGTGTAAATAAGGACAAAATGTATAATAGATGTTGTGAAATAGGAAGAAAATGTTCACATGGGAAGGGAAACTAGGGAGGGCAAGAGGGGAAAGAAAGGAAGGGAAAAGAAAGAAAGGAAAAATGAAAACAAACTTTTGTGAATAAGGAGGGGAAGAGGCATTGAATAGAGGGGGGTAGGAGAAAAGAATCAAGCTATATCATACACAGGTACAAATTTCCTATGATAAATGTTATCATAATGTATATCTAAAATGTGTACCAATAAACATAATTAATTTAAGAAACAGTCTGTAGAAGACCGAGTCAGGTAATTAAGAAGAGGTTGGAATGGTAGTGAAAGCAAGCTTTAGTCTATATATCTGGATGGAAGTATTGGAAAACAAAAGCAAAATGAAAGAAATGAATTTTTAAATAAAGCAGAAGAAACGAAGTTTTATTACTACTATTTATGTGTTTATCAGTTAACTGTCATAAACATAACAAAGACTTTAGCTTCAAAAAGGAAAACAAATTTGCTATATTGTGGGAAATTTTCACTGTGACAGAGATGAAAGAGGCTTCTGTCTGAACAAGGAGTGTATGTATAACCCTGAGCCTTCCAGACACCAGATGGGTCAACGGATGGGGGGGCACTGTGCACGGCCCCAAGCTAATGTAGGTGAGCGACAACTTCAAAGTCCTAGAAAAGACCACCTGTCACAGGTCTGACCACAATGCTAAGATATCCAATCTTTACCCTGCAGTGTTAGGCTCCCTGGGGACTTCTAAAACCAAACAAATCATGAGGGTCTCCTTCTACCCATGTTTACAGCAGAGTGCTTGCAGAGCTCTCCTGTGCTCTCTCTTTATGCAAAGGACAACAGATGTCCAGCTGTCTTTAGGAGCTCTAAGAGCTTCAAGGAGAAAGAAGGAGGTTTGTGAGCAGGAAGGAGGTACCTGTGCCCCACTGTGGCTGCTTGCACAGAGATACACAGCCAAGTCCCCTTGCTGTACATCCTGGATCTTCAGATTGGAGAAGGTGCCCTCCGGCCTCTCAGCAGAGAACCGCTCAGGAGGCATCTTGGATGTGTCTGATGCTAATTCATTCTGGAAATACATTAGGAACTCTGGGCCTTGTTCAAAGGTCTGTTGGTACCAATAAAGAAAAGCAATGATCAGAAATTGGATCACACCTGAAAGTTACATTCTGTCCCTTCTTTGTTACCCTGTAACTGGGGGACTGGGAGACACCAGCTTCATTGTGATCTGTGGACACAAAAGTTGGGAATAAAATGAGAAAAATAGTTTAGTCACCACTCACATAAACTCACACATGCATATACACAATACATAGACACACACATACACACACACACACACTGAAACTGCTTGGGTTTCTGCAGACTCACCTGTCCCCAGAAGACAGAGGGCGACCCAGGAGAGGAGCCTGGTGTCCATGGTAGGGTCTGCACAGGGTGGAGGCTCACCAGCTCAGACAGGGAAGCAAAGGCTTCCTTTGTCACCACACAGTGGTCCCCACGGTGACATCACTTCCTCTATCAATCTCCACAACCTAAGGAATACGCAATTTACATTATAGAATACTATTGTGACTGATTTAAATATTTATAGGCCTCTTTTTAACAAATTAAATTTATAGGTCATAATATTCAGCCTTAGTGTTGTCTGGATATGGAATTATCACATTCTGTGCTCTTTCACAAGGAAGAAAGAAAGGATATCTATAAATTATGCATATACATATGTGTGCATTTTAAACGTGAAAAATTTACCATCTATAAATATCCTTACTTTTTTCCTTTTCCCACTCACTCAAAACTCCAAGAAATAACATAGGCACCAGAATTACATTTGTAGACTTTATACTCATTGGATTCAAGAATGTGCCACAGTTTAAAGTTGAAATTTTCATACCAACTCATAACTGGCTCATCCACATGAATGCTCCCACAGTGGTTTAACAGGTAAATGATTTTCATAATCCACAGCAGACCACCTGCTTGCAGAATCTCACTTTCACATGTTCTGAACCCTGGACTAGGCAACTGGGATCTGAGATGTGAAAAACACTAGGATGCCAAGTCCTAGCATTAGAGATTTGCTTTTCCATTGGTCAAATGTAGATGATTAAGGAGCAAAAGTACTTGGCATATTTCTTAGTTCTAACTTATTCAGAGAAAAAAATAATGTTCTCCAGTCTGAAGTTATGTATTTTTATTTGAGTGGGTTAAAAGGTCACATTACTTATGAATTAATATTGCTTGGCAAGACTCCAGCATCATGGCAACTCATGAAAGAAAAGATAACAACAGCTAAAACTGTGCTTCTGAGTAGGAGGACAACTGGAATCACAGTCATGAAAGAAAATCTAGAATGAAGACATCCCAGTTTTGTGCATGGGTCACGAGGCATCACAACCCGAATAGGAGTCTGCAGACCACAGCAGGGTTGAAAAGGTGGGTGACTAGAAGTATCATTCTGGAAGGAGCCACCCTGTGAAAGATGTTGTTAAGTCAAATTATCCAGTCTGGGAACTATACTTCTAGCATGTTTTGGGGTCAGAGTGGTCAAGGAGGCATTCATTTAGAGTTTAGAAGATACTGGTAAAATACGTTTCATTTGGAAGATCACTGTGATCATGCAGGGACACAGTGACTGGCACATGCAGAGCTGTGCAACAGACCAAGGGCATTCTCTCCCTCTTCTATAATCTGTGCCAGTTTATCTTCTCAAGAGTTTGCCAACAGCAGCAAGGCTTATCCAAAAGACACAAACCCACAGAGGTAGCCCCCCTACAGACAACAGCTACTGTAGGAGCGGGTTTCTGCTACTACTGTTTTAGGTCTCACAAATGGCTGTATGTGCCCTAAATGTCATCCCCCACAGCTCCAACCTTTGCTCCTGAACCATCCCTCCAAGAGCCCTGCCCACCAGCCATCTCCTTGACGTTTGACTACTCCCTTCTAGCCTGCTGTTCCTCAGCTCTTGCCACAAATGAATAAGGCCTAATTCTTATAATAAACTCTCTTCCCATAATATTGCTAATGATTATATTCATCTGATGGAGAGCTCATAGTTATTGATACCAGAAATTGTTTTCAGGAAAGAAAACTTTAAGGATGAAATTCCGGAAGTAGGTCTCTGATCCAGCTACATCTCTTGTGAAGAAAGAGGCTGAAGGAAAAAACAGACTTTGGAGGAAGTCTGGTTCTGAAGCTACCAAAAAAAAAAAAAAAAGCA